GAGCTAGAGACCGAAAAAGCCTTCAAAAAAAAAGTCAATGAATCCAGGAGCTGGTTTTTTGAAAAGATCAACAAAGTAGATAGACCGCTAGCCAGACTAATAAAGAAGAAAAGAGAGAAGAATCAAATAGACGCAATAAAAAATTATAAAGGGGATATCAACACCAATGCCACAGAAATACAAACTACCATCAGAGAATACTACAAACACCTCTATGCAAATAAACTAGAAAATCTAGAAGAAATAGATAAATTCCTAGACACATACACCCTCCCAAGGCTAAACCAGGAAGAAGTCAAATCCCTGAATAGATCAATAACAAGTTCTGAAATTAAGGCAGGATTTAATAGCCTACCAACCAAAAAAACTCCAGGACCAGATGGATTCACAGCCAAATTCTACCAGAGGTACAAAGAGGAGCTGGTACCATTCCTTTTGAAACTATTCCAAACAATACAAAGAGAGGGAATCCTCCATAACTCATTTTATGAGGCCAGCATCCTGATACCAAAACCTGGCAGAGACACAACGCAAAAAGAAAATTTTAAGCCAATAACCCTGATGAATACCGACGTGAAAATCCTCAATAAAATACTGGTAAAACAAATCCAGCAGCACACCAAAAAGTTTATCCACCATGATCAAGTCAGCTTCATCCCTGGGATGCAAGGCTGATTCAACATATGCAAATCAATAAACATAATCCATCACATAAACAAAACTAACGGCAAAACCACGATTATCTCAATAGATGCAGAAAAGGCCTTTGACAAAATTCAACAGCACTTCATGCTAAAAATTCTCAATAAACTAGGTATTGATGGAACATATTCTCAAAACAATAAGAGCTATTTATAACAAACCCACAGCCAATATCATCCTGAATGGGCAAAAACTGGAAGCATTCCCTTTGAAAACCGGCACAAGACAATGATGCCCTCTCTCATCACTCCTATTCAACACAGTATTTGAAGTTCTGGTTAGGGCAATCAGGCAAGAGAAAGAAATAAAGGGTATTCAACTAGGAAGTCAAATTGTCTCTGTTTGCAGATGACATGATTGTATATTTAGAAAACCCCACTGTCTCAGTCCAAAATCTCCTTAAAGTGAAAGCAACTTCAGCAAAGTCTCAGGATTTAAAACCAATGTGCAAAAATCACAAGCATTCCTATACACCAATAACAGACAAACAGAGCCAAATCATGAGTGAACTCCCATTCACTATTGCTACAAGGAGAATAAAATACCTAGGAATACAACTTACAAGGGATGTGAAGGAACTCTTCAAAGAGAACTACAAGCCACTACTTAAGGAAATAAAAGAAGACACAAACAAATGGAAAAACATTCCATGCTTATGGATAGGGAGAATCAGTATCGTGAAAATGGCGATACTGCCCAAAGTAATTTATAGATTCAATGCTATCCCCATCAAGCTACTATTGACTTTCTTCACAGAACTGGAAAAAACTACTTTAAATTTAATATGGAACGAAAAAAAGAGCCTGCATAGCCAAGACAACTCTAAGCAAAAAGAACAAAGTTGGAGGCTTCACTCTCCTGACTTCAAACTATACTACAAGCTACAGTAACCAAAACAGCATGGTACTGGTACCAAAACAGATACATAGACCAATGGAACAGAACAGAGGCCTCAGAAATAACACCACATATCTACAACCATCTGATCTCTGACAAACCTGACAAAAACAAGAAATGGGGAAAGGATTCCCTATTTAATAAATGGTGTTGGGAAAACTGGCTAGCCGTATGCAAAAAGCTAAAATCAGATTCTTCCTTGCACCTTATATAAAAATTAAGATGGATTAAAGACACAAACACAAGACCTAAAACCATAAAAACCCTAGAAGAAACCATAGGCAATACCATTCAGGACACAGGCATGGGCAGAGACTTCATGACTCAAACACCAAAAGCAATGGCAACAAAAGCCAAAATTGACAAATGGGATCTAATGAAACTAAAGAGCTTGTGCGCAGCAAAAGAAACTATCATCAGAGTGAACAGGCAACCTAAAGAATGGGAGAAAATTTCTGCAATCTATCCATCTGACAAAGGGGTAATATCCAGAATCTATAAATAATTTAAACAGATTTACAAGAAAACAACAACCCCATCAAAAAGTGGGTGAAGGAGATGAACAGACACTTCACAAAAGAAGACATTTATGCAGCCAACAAACATATGAAAAAATGTTCATCATCACTGGTCATTAGAGAAATGCAAATCAAAACCACAATGAAATACCATCTCATGCCAGTTAGAATAGCAATTATTAAAAAGTCAGGAAACAACAGATGCTGGAGAGGATGTGGAGAAATAGGAACACTTTTACATTCTTGGTGGGAGTGTAACTTAGCTCAACTCTTGTGGAAGACAGTGTGGCAATTCCTCAAGGATCTAGAACCAGAAATACCATTTGACCCAGCAATCCCATTACAGGGTATATACCCAAAGTATTATAAATCATGCTACTATAAAGACACATGTACATGTATGTTTGTTGTGGCACTGTTCACAACAGCAAAGACTCAGAACCAACCCAAATGTCCATCAATGATAGACTAGATAAAGAAAATGTGAGACATATATACCATGGAATACTATGCAGCCATAAAAAAGGATGAGTTCATGTCCTTTGCAGGGACATGGATGAAGCTGGAAACCATCATTCTCAGCAAACTAACACAAGAACAGAAAACCAAACACCGTATGTTCTCACTCATAAGTGGGAGTTGAACAATGAGAATACGTGGACACACGGAGGGGAACATCACACACCGGGGGCTGTCAGGGGGTGGGGGAAGGGGGAGGGATAGCATTAGGAGAAATACCTAATGTAGATGATGAGTTGATGGGTACAGCATACTACCATGGCACATGTATACATATGTAACAAACCTGCATGCTCTGCACATGTACCCTAGAATTTAAAGTATAATTTAAAAAAAAAAATGGAAAGATTGTTTAAAAAAAAAAAAAGCGAAATAATTACATTTGCAGCAACCTAGATGGAATTGGAGACCATATTCTAAGTGAAGTAACTGAGAAATGGAAAATCAAACATCGTACATTCTCACTCCTGAGTGGAAGCTAAGCTATGAGGATGCAAAGGTGTAAGAATAATACAGTGGACTTTGGGGACTCAGGGAAAAGGGTGAGAGGAGGGTGAGGGATAAAAGACTACACACTGGATACAGTGTACACTGCTTGGGTGACGGGTGCACCAAAATCTTACAAATCACCACTAAAGAACTTAGTCATGCAACCAAATGTCACCTGTTCCCCAGTAACCTATGGAAATAAAAAAAAAAAGAGAGAAATTTTAAAAAACCTTAAACATTCTACATACATTTTCCCCCAAGAAAAAGCTGGGTGCTATCCTACAAATCAGAGATTTAGGGTTTGGAAAATAAACATTATGACATTTAAAAAATACTACACTATATACACAGTTTTGGAAATTCTTTATGAAATTATCAGAATTTCCACCTGGTTTTCTATATGCAAACTTATTTCTGCCTGTACACCCACATTCAAACTCTTACCTCCACCCCACAGGCAGTTCTAGTCTGAGGTAACAGTTCAGTCGTACCTTTGGGTCTTAGCAATGTCATCCTTGTTTGGTCCACCTTCATCACTGCTTTTGCCTACCACCAAAGGCCTATCAGAAACGGGCATGGCTGACCCACTCTCATCTATTTTAAGCCACAGGATCCCAATAGGACAGAAGACTTTGCCTCCTTGGACCTCATCTCAGGTAGTCTACTCTGACAGTAATGCTCTCATAACCTTTCTCTCAAGGTCATTCTCTATAGCCTGTTACCACGGCTCACTTGATCCAGTGTTTAGTTCTTCCTGACTCTAAATTTAGATCAAGCAATTGTAAAAACCCATGAGGTGGCGCCTCATTAACCTAGGATTCTGAGGTCTTTATTTCATGGACTGTTTGACAGCTTATCTAGATAATAAGAAGGAAAAACACCATAATATTAATAGAACTTGCTATTACTGCTTCATAGGAACAAAGCTGCTCAATGATTCTGGAGCTGAATGGAGCCTGAACTTTATATATAAATACTAACCAACTCAGTAATATCTACTCTTTTTTTCTTTTTCCTTCCTTCCTTCCTCTCTCCCTCCCTCCCTCCCCCTCTTCTCCCCTCCCCTCCCTTCCTTTCCCTTCCCTTTCTTTTCCTTTCCTTTCCTTCTTTCTTTTCTTTCTTTCTTTCCAGACGGAGTCTCGCTCTGTCTGCCAGGCTGGAGTGCAGTGGCGCGATCTCAGCTCACTGCAAGCTCTGCCTCCCAGGTTCATGCCATTCTCCTGCCTCAATCTCCAGAGTAGCTGCTACTACAGGCGCCCACCACCATGCCTGGATTTCTTTTGTATTTTTAATAGAGACGGGGTTTCACCATGTTAGCCAGGATGGTCTCAATCTCCTGACCTCATGATCTGCCTGCCTCGGCCTCCCAAAGTGCTGGGATTACAGGTGGGAGTCACCATGCCCAACCCCTTTCATTCTTTAAAGATGGTGCCACAGACATGCCCCTCTCAGTCTCCTGATTAAAATCCTAATTGTGCTAACATGCTCATTTATCTCAAAACTGAAACCAATTTTTTTTTTCCCAACTGAGCACGTCTTTGAGTTTAGGGCTGTTCTTGCCTTTGCAGATTAGAATTGGGTGGGTTGGTGGTTGTTGTTTTTTGTTTTTGTCAAACAATAAAAAGAAACTGGAAGGGAAAACCGAGCAATATGCTTGATTTTCTATATTCTTGTAAAATAATTTTTTCCTGTGAGTTTACATGTGAAAAGGCAATGAGTATCAATTCTTCATAAAAGTGACTGAATTACCCTGGGGCAGAGGTTGCAGTGAGCTGAGATTGTGCCACTGCATTCCAGTCTGGGTGACAAAGCAAGACTCCATCTCAAAAAAAAAAAAAGCCATTTAATTAGGAGATGAAATGAACTGCGATAAAATAGGAAGACGTGTTCTTTAATAAACATAAGACATCTTCAAGTCTAAGTAAAATAATAACAACAACAGATTCTACACCACAGTTGTATACACTTCCAGTGAAGCTTTATGCATTCCATTCTGAGCTCCTAGCACCAGGTAAACACGAATCATAGGTGGAAATATGCCATGTTTAGCACTAGAAGCAACATCACAGTTTATTAGCAAAATAAAGCGGAAAATGGTCAGGTAAATAAATATTACAACATATAATGTACTGGTGATGAAGCTGCAATAAAGTAATATAAGTGAGATTTACTTTTCTTTCTTTCTTTCTTTTTTTTTTTTTACTGGGAAGGCTAGTTGTAAACATAAACATTCACATTAAACTACTAGCCCCCCAAAACCTAACCTATCTCACAAACAATAATCATCTTTTGACTACAAAATCATAAAACCTTGTACTCCATGGCTCTTTTGTCTCGATGGTTTTTCAGAGGAAAAAATGAGCTGTGATAAGGAGTTTCACAGATTTATCCATCTTGAATAGCTGCCAGTTCCGGAACCTCATACATCCTCAGAACATCTTCATAGAGCAAATAATTATGTAGGCTTCTGGGAAGCGGCAACTCGCTAATATAACTGTCAGACCGTAGACGTTCTGATTTTAGACTGGACCGAATTTCCAAACGACAAAGATGGGTCAGGGATGGAATAGTGGCTGGAGAAACAAAAAAAGCAAGGTGAAACTTTTTTTAAACAGAAAGATGTAATAGTACATTAAGGGAAATTCATTTTTTTTCTTTTTCCCAACTCTTAGTAATAAAAGTGATATATTGCTTAGAATTACTTTGAAAGAAGACTACTTGGAGTCAGTATGACCACAATAAACCTTATTTATTCTTTTCTACAGCCTTCAACTGGCTCCTCTCCCTTCAGTTGTTGGCCACACATTTAAAGTCAGTATCCAGGCCCACAAACACTAAATGCTCACATTCTAAAGATCTGTCAATAACTGCACTTAAGAAATGGATGAACCAACTTTAGAAATGGTAGAAGCTCACGGTAGCAAATGCTACCTTTCTCTTAATCTATTTCATTACAAATGGTTTCCAGACCTATCACATCAAGTGAATACATGTACAGCTTGCAAGTTTTCCTTTTTAACCGTAACACAGAATGAACATTTTTAATTGGCTCTGAGAGAAAGGGAGTATTTACTGAGTGCCTTCTATGCAATAAGCCCAAATACTTCACTCAAACTCTTTGTTTAGCTTCATTAACTTCATGAGGTATATATTATCAGGCTATTGTAGAGATTTAAAAAAACAACTTTCCAAAGTCACAGAGCTAGTAAGAAGCAGAGCCAGGATTCAAACTCAGATCTATCTGAACCCAAAGCGTGTGCGTGTGTGTGTGTGTGTGTGTGTGTATGTGTGTGTATGTGTGTGTATCTGCAAGGCACTGCAGCCAAAAGCTAATTACCAATTAAAGGACAATCCACGTGCACATAATTAAGAACTGTATGATAGGCCAGGCATGTTGGCTCATGCCTGTAATCCTAATACTTTGGGTAGGCCAGGTGTGATGGCTCACGCCTGTAATCCCAGTATTTTGGGAGGCTGAGGCGGGCAGATGACCTGACGTCAGGAGTTCAAAACCAGCCTGACCAACATGGTGAAACACCGTCTCTACTAAAAATACAAAATTAGCTTGGCGTGGTGGCACATGCCTATAATAGCAACTACTAGGGAGGCTGAGGCAAAAGAATCACTTGAACCTGGAAGGTGGAGGTTGCAGTGAGCCGAGATCACACCATTGCACTCCAGCCTGGGCAACGAGAGCAAAACTGCGTCTCAAAAAAAAAAAAAAAAAAAGAAAATCATATGATAGCAGTTTCATTTTCCAAGATGAAAAGTGTTAAACAAAGAAGTTAATGTCTGCTTTTATGTGAATTGGACCTAAAGCCTTTTGTTAGTTCAAGAAATCTTTTATAAATCCCTGTGAAATGTAACAATGATTAACAGACCAGGATCAGAGCATCAAAGACAAGTACTATCAAGAGCACAGCTGACACCAGACCAGCTAGTCTGATTCCAGGTCTAGGGTTCTTTAAACTCTAATACCCAAAGGGCTTGAGACAAATTAATTCTCTAACATCTTCAATATCTTCCAAGCCACAGAAGTTAACTTATCATCATTTTGGTTTACTAGTTTACGTTTAGTTTATTCAGAATTAAAGAAATCACTCAAACTGGTGTTTTAAAATGCCAAATAAGAAAGCAAAAGTTATCAATTTTGTACATAAAACCTGAGTCTAAGCTGGGCATTTTCTTAAACCATGAGTCACAGATTCCCTATTATAAATAATAAGATTACAGTATCTATAGTATATAGCACATTTATTTCCAACATTTTTCATATCCATATCTTACTTAAATTTGACCCTTTTCTATAAACTTAAAGGAGAAATGATGGTTCTCACATGAAAGATGGGAATACACAGGTAAAGGGGCCACTGGACGAAGTAGCAGGAATACATACGGAAAGCACGCCCAAGCTGCAAACACCACAGTTTTCCCAAGGTTTAAGTAGATTGACTATGTTCAACTATCAAGTATAAGGAAGCCTTCTTAGGAGGATCATGAACAATAATTGGTCAGTTCATAGAAACTCACCTTAAAGCAGGTGACCAAAACACCACACATACTTTAAACATTCTAATTTAAAATGGATACATGAACCACATCTAGAATGTAACATCTTAGGCTTGCAGTTTATTTATGTATTTTTTACTCACCACTATATAAATAAGGACATAGTTTCACTTTCTTTAAGTTACAGCATGGATTTAAACGCATGTATGAAACAAGGTAAGTGCATAATCCTTCCATATTTTCACAGGCATTTCTGCTTTCAGTTGTTGTAGCCACATCTAATTCAATATCTATTTCTGTTCTGTGCTTATCTATATCAAGTCTTTTTAAAGGATTCTACTTTGCCTTAAAAGAAACAATCATTCTCTTTTCACACTCACAATTCATTAGCTTGTGCAATCTGGAATTATTCAACTACAATCGTTGGGAGCAGGCCCCCCAAAATCTGGCCATAAACTGGCCCCAAAACTGGCCATAAACAAAATCTCTGCAGCACTGTGACATGTTCATCATGGTCCTAACGCCCAAGCTGGAAGGTTGTGGGTTTACAGGGATGAGGGCAAGGAACACCTGGCCTGCCCAGGGCAGAAAACCGCTTAAAGGTGTTCTTAAGCCACAAAATATAGCATGAGCGATCTGTGCCTTAAGGACATGCTCCTCCTGCAGATAACTAGCCCAACTTATTCCTTTAATCCGGCCCATCCCTTTGTTTCCCATAAGGAATACTTTTAGTTAATCGAATATCTACAGAAACAATGCTAATGACTCGTTTGCTGTTAATAAATACGTGAGTAAATCTCTGTTCAAGGCTCTCAGCTCTGAAGGCTATGAGACCCCTGATTTCCCACTTCACACCTCTGTATTTCTGTGTGTGTGTCTTTAATTCCTCTAGTGCCGTCGGCTTAGGGTCTCCCTGACCATGCTGGTCTCAGCATACAATAATATGCACAACGTAATAAAAAGTTTCAGAAATAAACATAACTGCTGTTTGGTAAGCACACACCTCTGCTAGTAGGAACACTGGCATTCTAGAGTGTAGCTGGCCAGCTGCAAACACAGAGCATGCCAATAGACACAGTCAGATGGAAATGAAAGAGAACATGACAAGACTGGTTAATCCAGTGTGTGTTTTTAAAGTGAAGTTGGTGAAGAGAATTTCTACTTATATTCAGTTAGAGTTTAATAGGCATCTGTTAAATTGAATCTCTTCATTCTGCACATTCTTAGGAACATGAATACTTACTACACACCCAGAAGAAAGATAAAGGACTGCTGTGCAACCCGGAGGAGAGCTGCTCACTTGGAGATAAGGGATCCTTAATGATGCTCCAGCTTCTCAGAGTGGACAGACTACACTGGCTTAAAATTCTATAGGCTGACTGGGAAGAGTTCCTCCACATGCCCTAACACTTCATGTAGCACTGAGCAGCTTGTTTAGGTTACATGACTACATCACTGGGGGTCTATCTTTAAAGCTTAATAAATCATTTGTTTATGCTAATTATGTGTGTAGAAGTTTAACCATGAGTGATCAAGCCACACTAGACCAGTTCGGCGTTTGTTAGGAGAAACTTAAGTGACTTGCCCACTGAGATGTTGCACATCACAACATAGCTGTTGTTAACTAGATCTAAATGATTTGACTCCCAGTCCAGGGTTCTTTAAATTGTGACAAGCTCAATATAATTCTCCAACATCTTCTAAACCACTGAAACTATCATAAATTTCAGAATATCTTTCCATTTAACAATAAAAAAGGAAAAGTATAGCTACTTCAGGTATTGGTTCAACTTTCAATTGCACCATTTTGGTTTTCCTTCTAAGAGTACAACAGATCACTGGCCTAATGAACAATTACAGGTAAGAACTATGTTCAACTGAACTGAGGGAGTCTTTCATGTGTAGATTGTTAACACAGACAATAATATGCCTGTCAGTGCCATTTTAGTTTACTATGCCAGTAAATACTAAGAGAATTTTATAACCATATATGCAATATTTCAAAGCGTACAAAATCCCTTTGAAAGTTTTAGTGACGCATAGTATTTCCAGACATGTTGCCACTAGGCTAGAAGATCAAGTCATGCCTTGAATTTATAATACAAAAAGGCCACAGAAACGGTATGTAAAACTTACTTTCATGAAAACCTATTAAAACTATAGTTTGTTGAATAAAACTCCATGTTCTTGGATTATGGCAGTGACTGTAACCTAGAAAATGATGTCTGAAACCATGCCACACTTTTAAGTCACTTTTCTGACCCAATCATTTTTATTCAGTATGTTAAACTTAGTTTATCTATAGATCTATTAGCAGACAAGTAACATTTAACTTTTAATTTCTATACAGAATTCCTCTATTTTGTTCATTTTGTTATATGTACTGGCAGAACAATCAAGATAGAAGACTACAGGTTGTTATATAAAGTTTTGTTAAAATCAAAAGCAGACACAATGATCAAATTAAACATCACAATTCTTAATTCATTATGCTCATAAATGCCAACTTTACTATAGCACAAAACTATATCTATATCATACACACCCACTGTATTTTTACATTCATCTCTAGTCTGTCCTCAGGCCAATGTTCAAATGACCTATCTGCCTGAACTACATTTCTCTGGTTTCTTTGAAATGTTTTGCACATCAAATGTATTTATCTGACCTCTGAGTCATCTACTACCATTTTTATTTTCATCATTAATATATTGTCTTTCTGGTTGGCTTCCATCCTTTTGTTCCCAATTTTTCTTAATTTACTTGTGTTGTCTCTCTCTCTCACTGACTATAACTAAAACCGCTAGAGAAAACACACAAAAGACGACTACTTGAGGACTCTGAAAAATAAGTAGTAGATTAGGACATGAAGTCAAAACAACAGGAATGACCAGTATAGACGAATGACCAGTATAGAGGCAATGAATGGATTCAATGGAAAAGCACCATCTAGTAGTAACACCTGTGCTGGCGCTGACTATTAACTAGCTGTGTGACCTTGGGCAAGTCATCTAAATATTCAGACTTTCAGTTCCCCCTGCACAAAATGAGAATAATGCCTCAT